GCTATGATGCTCCAGGTTCAGCAGCAACAGCTTTAGCATTGCCGTTGACTGTAAGGTTATTATTCCCCTCCCTTCCCTTCTCCTTCACGAGCCCTTCTCCAGGTTTAAGCAAAGTAACAGTGGATGGTAGAGTCTTGCCGCCAAGTGGATTCTGCAACGATAAATCAACTTTCGACAGTTCCTTGTCACCACCATTAGGCCTAAAACCAGCATCACCATTGCCATTAACAACGCCCACAGTAACACTGAGGGGCTCAGACTCATGCATCTCCACGTCTCCATCAGCATCGGCATCGTCATCCCCGTCAGCATCTCCATCAGCGTCTGCATCTGCGTCACCGTCTTCATCACCGGTAATAGCAGCAACATTATTGTCGCTTTTGGTGGATTCTAGAGGTAGAAGTTGACCGGGAGCTTCCTTTTCTTTTTCACTCTCATCCCGCTTGCCCTCGACTCGGCTCTGACCCAGACGCTCATCATCACTAGCCCCCCTCGACCCCGCCCTAGACTCGGAACGAGATCCTCTCACATCACTCTCCCTCTGGATATCCCTAACCGAACTCTCCCTTTGAATATCCCTCATCGAACTCTCTCTAACCGAACTCGTCCTCAACGAACTCAACAGATGCATATTCGAATTCGAGGAAAAGTCCCCTGTTCCTGCTCCCCCTCCTCCGGCACCACCATTCCCCCCAGCAGCTCCTACTACGTGTCCCATATGTCCAAGAGAACCCGCGTGCCCATGTCCATGACCATGCGAATGCATAGACCCCATACTCGACATAAAACTCATCGAACCATCATGAGCATGAGGAATCTGCATCGGCTGTCCAGGTCCAAACCCAAACCCAGGACCAAAAGCACCCATAACCATTCCGGGAGGAGGCGGTACAAAAGCACCACCATTGGCATTAGGGTTCGACGGTTGTCCTTGTCCCTGACCCGGCATACCAGGATGAGGATGCCCAAATGAAGCCAGCGAGCCTATAGATCCATTTAGAGGACTCATCACTCCTCCTGGTCCCATAACTCCCATAGCAGGTCCGTTAGCTTCGACAGAGCTCATCGAAGATCCGCCAGTATACGTTCTTGGCAGCTGTGAAAAGATGGACGAGGCACCAGAGGAAGAGGGCGTTACAGAGGACGGGATAGATCCAATAGACGATCCTGGAGGTAAAGAAAACCCAGACCCAGATGAAGTCATAGTCATCGCCAAAGGATATGGGTACGGGTGATGCCCATTCGAAGCAAACTCTCCTCCGTACCCAAAGCCGGGAACCGGGCCCATAGGCATACTCATACCCATATGATGCATCACTTGTGCGTGTTGATGCTGGGAATGAGCGTTATCTCCATCACTTCTCCTATGTCTCGGATGCAACGCATGTCTACCTCCATCACTTGCTCCTCCAGGACCAATGATAGTCGTAGGTGCACTTTCGAGTGTTCTCCCTTTCGAGTTTCTCCCAGATAAGGAAAGAAGAGAGTTGACAGCAGCTTCATCAGAAACTTCTTCTCCTTCATACTCTTCCTCATCTTCATACTCTCCGTCCTCCTCGTCATCTTCCTGATCAGCGGCAGGTGCGCGCTGAGCTTGATCTTCCTCATCTTCGTACTCTTCCTCAGACAACTCATCTTCCTCTTCCTCTTCTTCACTCTCATACTCAGCTCGACCTCTCTTCCTCCCAGCTCTTCCACGTCCTCGAGCACTCGTATTCTTCTTGGAAGCGACCGTTCTTGCTCTCCCTTTGCCCTTGGCCGACGACGCTTTTTTACTCGCAGCTCTAGCAGCACTAGCTTTGGCCCGAACCCTCGCGCTACTCCTCGTTCCTTTCGGTGAAGTCGTAGTCGTATTGACAACTTCATCGTCTTCTTCCTCTTCCTCCATCTCATCCTCCTCCTCCTCATCTTCATCAACAACAGGAACAGCAGCTCTCCTTCCTTTTCCCCTAGAAGCGGAGGCTCGGCCTTTACCCTTGCCTTTACCAGCAGGCGCAGTAGGAGCAGCAGCTTTCCCCTTTCCTTTCGCCGCCGCCTTGCCTCTCCCTTTCCCCGTTGAAGCAGATGCCCGTCCTCGTGCCTGCGCCTTGCCTTTCCCCTTGCCCTTTGACATCACCTCTTCTTCATCTTCCTCTCCCTCCACTTCATCTCCATCAACCACTTCCTCTTTACTCGACCTTTCCACTCGACCTCCTTTTGCAGAAACACTAGGAGAACCTCCTGCCGTCATATCACTATCCTCTCCAGTTCCAACTCCATTCACAGAATCGGAGACTAAAACACCCTCTCTCTCCCTCGCAGCCCTTTCCCTCTCTTCTGCTACCGCCCGATTAACCTCTGCAGCTTTATGGACTTTGATGTGCTGTAAAAGGTTATCGTGCCGATTAAAGTGTTTGTCGCAGGAGGGAAAGGTACATTTGAAGGCTGGTTATTATCGTGAGGAAGAAGGGAGAAAAAAAAGGTGAGCCGGGAATGGTGATAGGGACAGGGTCGGTCGATGTTGGACGAGACACGACATGACACGACGCGAGATGAGACGCGATACCGATGACGGCGGTAATCACGACATAGCCATAGTGGTTAGTGATGTGTGATTCGAAATACGTGATTCGTCAGAGCCACCGTAATATCACAAGCAGCCAGACGAATCGCAATAAACCCAAATTCAGAGACGAGACGAAACGACACGGGAACCGTTCACACAATAAGCGAAGGAGACCGATTGTCAACGGCAGTGATAGATAGCGGTAGTAGCCCGTGGCATGAATAGGAATAGAAATTGTGAGACGCAGTCGCCGTCCAAGTCAATGTTTGGGTTCGGAATACCGTAAGCGTCAGTGGGGTCGGAATAACGTAATGAGGCAAGGACAAGGACCCGACGGAATATGACGCGTGTCCGGAACGCGAGGTAAGAGGAAAAGAGAGCAGTGAAAAAGCACAAGAAACAATCAACACCACACCTCCAAAACCCAACAAAGGACACTCACGTTTCTCATGTGTATGTATACTCCTAATATGCCTCTTTAAATGTTCTCCTCTATGAAAACATTTCCCACATCCTTCCACCGAGCACACATACGACCTCTTATCCAAATCTTTTGCGGAAGCTGGCGTTCCACCGTTGACAATTGCAACGCTTCCACTTGCTTGAGCTCCGGCTCCAGCGCCGGAGCCGGAAGCAGGAGCAGGAGCAGGGGCAGGGGCAGATGCAGATGCAGACGAAGGAGAAGGGTCCGCAGTGGCACCAGGAGTAGCAGAGTCTGTAAGAACCCTAACAGGGACACGTCTCCCACGAGATTTCTTTGTGAGGTTAGGAACGGGAACAGGGAGCGTAGCGCGCATGACGCGGTTTGTACCGATACGTTCTGCTGTGGGACGACGCTTTTGAGATTGTTGGGTCTGCTGAGGAGAGGCAGAGACGGGAACTGGAGTACTGCTAGCATGAGACTGAGGCGTCTCGGAACCAGAACCGACGGGAGGACCATCTGCATGGACTGCCGCAGAGGCGTACGGAACGTGATTTGGTCCTGGCGCTGTAGTTACAACCGCAGCTGTCGCTGGTGATGGAATAAACGTCGATGGTGTCTGGGTGGTCGGAGCGTTAGGTTCCGGACCAGTAGAAGCGACAGGTAACGCGTCCACAGGTAGAGGTGCAGAACTCGTCGTCGGAGGTAAAGCGCCTTGAGTATGATTGACGCCAGCGGGGCTAGGGGTTGAGTCGCCCACAGCCAGATCTGTCTGCGTTTTCGGTACATCTGAGCTGCTTGCGGTGGAAGGACCTGCACCATTGGTAGAGACAGCATTTGAAGCAGAAGGTGACATGGTGGCAGCCGTATGGGTTGCATTGTCATTGTCATTGTTGTCGTTGTTGTCGACGACGACGACAGAAGAGCGCTTCTTGAGCAATCTCGCTTTTTTAGCTGGTGGGGCAGAAACAGATGTGGGCTCGTTGTCAATGTTGTTGCTGGGCTGTTCGAGGTCCAACGCGTTATCCTGCATTATACGTCTTTTAATCGGTCTTCCAGACTGAGAGCGCGTGGCGTATCGACTTGGTGTCGAGCTTTCTTTTGGTAGAGTTTGTTGCTAAATGAAACCGGTCGCGTCAGCCCATACATACTTTTGAAAAAAGGGAGACAAAAAAAAGAAAGAAAAATTTTTCAGCACACACCTCAACAGCAGGACTGTTTACATCCTTTTCCGGCCCCAGACTCGCATTCTGTGTCGCGTCAGTCATATCAACATCTTTCCCCGCATCTACCGTCGATGCCATGGTCGATTATCCAACGTCGCCTGACAGGGGGTTGCGAAACGTCAGCTACCTCCCTATCCTCCTTCTCCTACGAAAAACTGAAAAATCGAAAGTAAAAAGCACCCTTGGACTACCCAGAGCACAGGTGGAATGGTTTGGACGGGAGGGAGCAGGGGGAACAGAGGAAAGCGAGGACGAGGTGCTGTGGGATGTAGATGGATGACCCCTGAGCAGCAAGGCCCTGGGTAAGCGGAACCTGTTTGGTCGATCACCTGATCAATTAAATTATTGCCGCCGGTGACAAACAATCGGCATAGGGGTATTGCGTCAGAGACCTGTATTCCAGACCACCCAGAGGTTGTGGGTCCTTGAGACTCAAAGTAGTGTCCACGTAATTACTTGTGCATCTAAAGCTTTGTTTACAAAACGTTATTCATATACGACTACAACTACAAATGCGGAACAAAGCAACTTGCTATTTGCATTTATGTACATCCTTCTTTCATTATCCAAATCACGGGTACACCGTTTGGTTGACCAGTATAATGTGGCATTCAAAGGGAAAGCAAGCATGATGCTACCACTTCACTGATGGTGTTGGGTACTTTACAATATTGGACGTACGGAGAAATTACACATCTAAAAATACCAGCGCAAGAGGCATGAACTGAATACGGAGCGTACTTGACCCGTTACATATGGTTGGATATTTATCCTTGATTTATTCACTTAAAAACACTCAGGAGTATATTACACCGTTCGGGAATCGAACCCGAGCCGCTTGCTTGAAGAATGCAACACTATACAATGGAAGGCAAGCATGATAACCACTTCACCAACGGTGTTATATGAAATTAGCAAACTCATAGAACCACTCATATGTGAAAAGGTTCAGCAAGGAAAGAACTTCACACTTTCTAATGCCTATTTTCAAAAGCAAAAGCAAAAGCTATGATTTATGCAAACTACGCACTTTTCAAACTAAAGCTCAAAAATACCAGTACATTTGGGAATATGGGCATGTCTGGTAAACAGTTCACCGCCGGTATCTCCCATCTATCTTTAACCAAAGGACTCTTATGGAATATGCATAAATGCAGAGACTCTAAAATCCCATTCGTGAGAATCATACTTACAGAATTTTTGGAAGATCATTTCCATTGTAAAATTCCCAGAACATTTTATAGCATTGATAACTTTATGCTTCTTGGAGTAATATCTGTCTAGGGTAAGTTTAGAGTAAAAATTCACATTATGTCCTCGCTTTGTGATGTTGTATTTGCCCATTGCAAAAGTAAATAATTAAATATTGAAACCTTTTTTTAACTTAATTGTCAATATTCATTGTGGCCGTCGCTGGACACTCCGGCCCGTCCCCTTGTTAGGAATAATATGATCACCTTCAATCTAAATATTCATTATCCTTTATAATTACTAGTAGAATAATTGTTCAATTGACTATAATTTTTCCCGCATTTTCGGTTTCTTTTTTCTCCATATCTTTGTCACCAGGAATCCTATAAAAGCAATGACTACCATCCCTATAACCGTAAAAGTCCCGATAGTCGCGGGTTTATTGTTGAAGAAGCTAGCACAAAAGGTGAATAAATCATTAATGTTTTGAAAAATATTATTTACTCGATTCCCGCATTAGTGTCTCCAGAAGTATCCGTAGAAGTATCATTTACACTTTGTATTGTAGATGTCGTTGATGTCGAATTATTATCACCCAGGATAATTGTAGATATTCCTGATGCCTTTATCATTTTCAATAATTAATCTGTCCACATTTCCAAATCTTGAAGTACTCACCTCTAAATTTGTTGTATGCAATGTACTCACAAATTCTACTGTGGTAGAAGTGACAACCATAACCTCACTACTTTTCCCACTTGCTCGAGGTGAGACCGTGGAAGTGATTAATATCTCTCTAGTCGTTCTCAAAGGAGTTGGTCTGTTCCTATCTGAGTCCGGTACAATTTCTCCACCGGTAACTCTTGTGCTTGTTGTTGGTGTCGGTGTAAATGATGGCTTTAAATCTGCGTCTTCTACAATTGAATCTCCAGCGATTTGTCTAAGTAAATAAATGGATAATATTCATTACGCCTTGGATATACAAAGTAGGATTTGAAAGGACACTCACGTTCCAAGTACCGATGCAATAGTAACAACTTGGCCAAAGATATCGGAAGCACCCTTAACACTTGCATTGAAGCCACTAGCAGGCACAGTTAATACGTTTATGCACAGTTCTGTGGTTACAGAATTTTCATTGACAGTAACAGTGCTCTGACATGTCAACGTTGAGCTCGTGAACGTGGTGGAGTTCGAAATTGATGTTGAGCTCGTAGAGGTCGAAATAATGGTGTCTGGTGTGCTTGAATCTGAATCCAGAATCCAAAAGTCGAGATGAATATTCGCTTCAAGTCTGATCAAATTATAGACTTACTCATCATGAAGGTATCTGAACTCGTTAATATTGGGTACTCGAAAGCCTAGAGGCTCTCGGGAACGATTTATATATCGATGCGCTTTCTACATATATGTAGTTGACGATGTCTATCATCGGTGATGGTATGATGTCCGTTACCACACATGTTCCCGCACTCGGGATGTATACCAGGGAAAGTCACCCTAAAATTCAACTTTACATAAGAACATGCCAGGATATAGAGTCGAATTGCTATGAATTAAAGTACTTAGGAACTAATTTGATATATGTCAATGTATCCCCTTCGATCAAATGTAGAGAATCTTAACTGTTAGTGGTAACTTCATAGCTTCACTTCGCAGTGTTGTGTTTAGCTACTGTGAGAATCAAGTACGGTTTCCTTTTTGGTTTGATCACCAAATTATTCACGTCCAGAGCGACCACCGTTGAGATATTTTACAGAACCATTTTCTTGTGCTTCAACTTTGCCCGATATTTTGATCTACATGCAGCATACACATGTTTTTAATTTGTTGTAAACGGCACTTATTGTATTGTCATTTTCAACTGTTCATACACAAAAGTACAGCAACAAACCCTGAGGGAAAAGATGCATAAAGGAAGAAGGCCGTCGCTTCGCGCGGCATGTACGAGGCCGAGAATATTATGAGTCAATGCCGTCTATTTATTGTCAAATCGGCGTTAGCGGCAGTTCAGAGAATTCATCTGAGCTTACTCAACAAATATATTTTGAGAACTTGATAAGATTACGACATCGTGGTTCGTAGTGATTTACTTGACTTGACCGGCTTGTACAAGCGGGTCAAGCCAGGCAAGTCACAACGTAACCAGCTCACAGGGTTTTTATACAAGTTGGGCGCTTATTTTGGCAGCAAGGAGTTGGCTTTTATTGATTCCCTTAAGCAAATCAGCTGAAAAGGGCTAGGAAATATATGCTGGTCTTCTAAAAAAACCAGTCTCATCAAAAAAACTAGAGCATAGAACGCAAACAAGGTAAAAGGCCGCAATCTATTGATGCCTGATGGTAAAAAGCTATAAACATTGCAGCACTTGAACTTAAAAAGCTAAAAACACTACCCAGACATTCAAAATGAAGAAAGCCAACAGATAAAGTGAAAAAGCGAAAGGTTGCTGTTGATGAAAGTAAAAAAGCCAAAAAGTTGACATTGATAAAAGTAAAAGGCCAAGATGACATTCCAAGTAAAAAAGCCAGGCATAATTTTTTGACACTATGTTTGCCATACAGTCCATCAAAAAATCTGTTTGTATAGACTGGAAGCATAGGTCCGAAAAACAAAACTCCAATTTCTAGTATCATTAGGACTCAAAAAGCACCATCAGCATTCTCAAGGACACGAATTTTCTTATTCAGTTTTTCATGTACAGGAAGATTTACGGGGAGGTTCACAGGGGATCAGAGTCAATGTCAAAAGTATAAGCGATCACGAAGAGAATTGTTTGCTTCCTGGTTTTATAATTTGCATGGTTTTTGAACTCAAATAAGTTTTAGTCAAAATTTGGATTTGGAAATCAAAATAATCTGAAAACATTTGGTACTTCTGTATGTTCCTTGACGTATTGTGTGGTATGGATAACTCACGAGCCCTCTGACTTGTAAACTCTTTGGTCAAATTAACAGTGCCTCGATCCATAAGCTCTTTCATTAAAGGTAAATTTTTGCAAAAAAAAAATAGTGGGTGTCTGTATTTTCGCATGAGCAATATATAAGCTGAAAATGTTTAATGACCGCACCCAAGTCATTGGTGAGCAAGATTGTCGTTTTAGCGTTCAATCAATGTATGCCAGGTATAAGTTTCCATGGAACGTCCTTCTCCCACTGTACCCATTGTTGTCCAAACTTTCTTTTCATCAATTCATCTTCTTTCCCTACCCGCAATATCAGAGATGCAACTATTGTTCCATAAACCAAAATCCACGATGAAAGGATGATCTGTCCAGCGGCAGTATTGAGAAATTTGCTTTCCCTCACCCATGACCCTTCCGATGCCCACAGTATGCATAATCCACAAAAGTAGAGCACAGTACCTGTGTAACTAGGGTGACGTACAATAGAATAAGGACCGGTGGTAATGAGATGGTGATCCTCGAGCAAGGTGACTTCAAAGGTGAAGTGTTTTCCCATTACTTGATAGCACTGATACCGAATGTAGGCAGCAGTGACCAGACAGAACAATCCCAAGTAAAAGGTTGGTGGCACTTTCTCCAACATAGAGACATCATCATTTGGCATGAAACCATTCCAGATAGAGTGTTTGCTATAACTTTGGATGAGAATAAATGCTTCTATCAGAAATGAGGCTATCGGTAACAACTAATATGTTGTACTGCATGAATATTCGGGAGAACAACTTGAATGAGAAACTAGTACCTTCATTATGTTGGAACCAGTGGTTGACACTCCTTTAACTTCCCTAAGTACAATTTCGTGATCGCGAGCAGGAGGATTCGGTGAGGTCATTATAACCCAAGCGGAAGGGGCTGCAATTAGGAGACAGAGTGATTTGAAGAGCGGTATCATGGTAGCAGAAGCGTTGTTTTCATCTCAGGAGTCACGGTATTTAAGTAGAACTCTCATCGTGGGCGCTTAGTGTTCTTCGGGACTTTCCTTCATTCGCCGGGGGCTGTCTTTTCACTGACATCGTTTACTAAAACTAAATGAATATGGTGCAATAGAGTTACTCGACCCTGTCGGCAATCTTCCAGACAGGAACAAGGCTGCTATGATCACCAGGTTTTCAAGGAGGACTCCAACACAAGATTTACGGGCCGTTGAAGTGGCAGTTATCAATACAGCATGGTGTGGCGCAGAATCATTTCTAGCAGAACACCCTTAGTGCGTTCCGCTGACAGCATGATTGTCCAAGACCGAGTGGCCTTCTCGGCTCCGATCGTGATCGGTACGGTATCAATATCACACCAGAAACGGAAAAAATTCCTCTCAGAGGAACGTTTTGATATATCAAAATTGGTAACATCGTATATGATATAGCAAAGAATTTTTTGCAATTCAATAAAGTTAAGACTTAGAATGAGAAATCGTGGATCATAATAAAGTACACTTGAGTTGAAACAATTATTGAAATATATTATAGCGGAAGAGATGAAAACAATACTGATTTATGTACATTCAATGCATCTGATGCCTTTTCCGATACAGAGTGTATCGGCCCAAAGCTCGGCATCAGTGAAATAATATCTGAAAAGACAATTGTTACATCGGCTGAAATATGGTAACTGAATTGAGATTTCAGAGTCAGTTTTAACTATCAGTGAGTTAAATGGTTAACTTTACGAGAGAGATAGAGAGAAGGGAGAGTATAAAGAAAACCATCGCGTCCGAATCACAAGAAATGTTTTCTATAGGTTTCCCCA